ATCCACCTGACAGAAGTCAATAGACAATTTCTTTTACGTAGTCAATTCATTTGTTGAAAAGTCCCCCACAAAAGAAAAAATATATAGTGGTAATAAATTCCTTTCAACCAGTAATAAAACAACATATACTAATTAATAGGTATGTTAGTGCTGTATCAAGGGTTATTTGATGACTACATTAGGGCCATGCATATGTCACATCGAAATGTTGCAGCTTCTTTTTCATAACTACTTCAAAGCTGGACTTTGGTCGAGTTTTAAATTCTACATAGAGGAAAAAAACTTTTTTTCCCTGGTCAAATGATTTAGTGAGATCTCGCAGATTGTACTGATCCTCTCTAATTTTATGTAAAGGTATTTGATCGAACATAAAATTTAATAAATTAAAGATAAACTTTTAAAATAATAATCTCGCCTCCCGTAAAAATACTGACTCTCCATCATAAGACCGTTTAAGAAAAAGGAAATTGAAGAGGAAGGGAGGGAAGGAATATGCTTCAGTAGTAAATTTGAGGAGAATGTTGGGAAATACTATATAGCAGTGGCGTGCGTGATAAATGCTGGCAACAAACAAATCAAGAAAATCATTCGTTTAAAACTGCTATAGTTTTGTTTATGTTTCATGAGAAGGGTTTTCATATGTTTGGCAGTAGCATTAAATTCGGTGAAATAGAGGTCTCAGTTTCTTGATTTGTTAATCTTTTGTCTTCTTCTCCCTGTCAATGACAAATGAACATGACTTGAACAGTTGAACTGTTACTATCACATCACATGCTCTATCTATCTCTCTGTGTGTGCTCACTTTCATGCATACACAGTCATCTCTATGTCATTTCAAATATGGTTGTACAGTTTAATTTAGGATAAAGATAGGTTAAGTGCAAATGACCTTCAAAAAGGGAGGCGAATTCGACATTTTAAATTCTTTTTTTTTGTCTCTCAATCGATATTCGATATCCGTATTGAAACCCGATTATTTCGGAATTCACGCCGCGTTGGACACCATTCGGGGAGGAGCGTTCCCTATCAAGAATTTTTTCATGTCCAGTGCTCGAATCCGATACCTCTAATTAAGAAAAGCGTGTTTCATCCACTGCACCGCATTCTTTGGTGATTTAACTTTTTTGATATTTATGTTTTTACAATTGAAACCATTCTAATTCTACAATTATGGGAATGTAGTATTTATTGAAATTTGATGATCTTTTTCCGATACTATTTGGGTATAGGCTCGGTAGTTAAATTAATGAGGTTAATTAAACCCATGATTTGGTAGCTACATCAACCTCTAGGAACACGTGGCCTGGTGTCTTAACCAACTATGCTCTTCTCTGTACCTCAATTTTATATTTCAACCTTATTTTTGTGGCGTTGTTTAATTTCACTAGGCAAGAAGCTTAAAGAAATGACCTTTTACCGATACCAAAAATAGCATTAGAAGTTGTGATTAGCGGTGGATCCAAGATTTTAAAGTCATGGATGCTTGTTGGAAAGAGTTTTGAAAGAAGACAATAAAAGAATTTAATTGTCACGGCCCAAAACCCAACCTGTCGTGATGACACCTATCATGATACTAGGCAAGACGACAACTCAAACATTTCCAACACTTTCAAATTTAAAATATACTAAAACAGGTTTAAATAAGTAAAATCTCAAAAAATAAAAACTGAAAAAAACCGTCACAACTCAATACAGAAGTTTTCCAAAATAAGGGTGTCCCTGAGTACATGAGTATCTATACAAAATACAAGTCTAATACACCATGTAAGAAGCAGAAACTGAATAAATAAAATTGAGGGATAGGGGAGGAGAGTCAAAGTCTAGGGGCACCAGAGCAGCTACCTCGAAAATCTCCGAATGACTGAACAACTCTCAGAATCAGCAACCAATATGTCCGAAAACACCTGGATCTGCACACGAAGTGAAGGGTGTAGCGTGAGTACAACCAACTCAGTAAGTAACAAGTCTAACTATTGGGTTGAAAGCAGTGACGGGCTTCACATGGTACAATTCAATTACAGAAATACGATACATAAAGGTAGATATGCTTCCAAATTTAAGAGATAAAGCCCAAACATGTAGGATATGCCAAATACAACTGAGATAAGAAATGATGCATCTCGATATCTACATGTCAGTTACACTAGAGTATAAAACAGTGATAAAATCTTATGCATACTCTCAGAGTATCAATCACTCAGTTCTCGCATTCACTCAATCCTCACGGTAACTCATTACTCACAGTCACTCAGTCCTCACAATCACTCCATCCTCACAATCACTCAATCCTCCCAATTGCTCGGCACTAGCACTCAGTAGGTCCATGCTCTCGCTTTGGGTGTGCAGACTCCGGAGGGGCAAATCCAGCCCAAGCATTATAATAAGCCAATCAGAGCATGAATCAATAAAATATATTGCGGCGTGCAGCCCGATCCCATAAATATTCTCACAATCAGGCCTTCGGCCTCACTCAGTCATCAATCTCTCCAGTTTCTAGGGCTCACAAGAATCATGATAATCAGCCCAAACAATGATAATATGATGTATTAATAAATGGTAACAAAGACTAAGATATGATATACAAATAATAGTTGTGACTGAGTACATAATTGCAAATTAAGCAAATAATTCAACATGCAACGCGGCCTCCATGAGTCCCAACAGTACCAACATGTAGCCTAAGCATGATTTCTAACATGACTCGCAGCTCAATTTACCTAACACATGAAGATTATACGGATAACAACAAGATTATGCAACTATACAGTTTCACGGAATTGACCAAGTCACAATTTTTACGGTGCACGCCCATACGCCCGTCACCTAACATGTGCGTCACCTCAACACCAATCACATAACACATAGTTCGGGGTTTCATACCCTCATAACCAAGTTTAGAAGTGTTATTTACCTCAAACAACGCAAATTTCTACTCCAATAAGCCCTTGCCTCGTCAATCGGCCTCCAAATGTCTCGAATCTAGCCACAAATAATTCCATACAATTAACTCAAGCTATAGGAATCAATTCCATATGAAAATGCTAAGTTCTATATTAAAAGTCGAAAAGTCAACTCAAAAGTCAACCCCCGGGCCCACGTCTCGGAATCCGATGAAAGTTACAAAATCCAGACACCCATTTAACCATAAATCCAACTATACCAAAATTACTCAAATCTGATACCAAATTCTCGCTCAAATCCCCAATATTCGGCCTAAGAAGTTTTCTCCATTTTTCCCATTTTTTCAACCCAAATCACTAATTAAATGATGAAATCAAAGATATAATTATGGAACTTAACCAAAATCAAGTAAGAATCACTTACCCCAATCACTCCCTTAAAAATCTTTTCAAGAATCGCCTCCAACCGAGTTCCCAAAATCAAATTTGTGAAATAAACTCAAACCCTCATTTTTGAAATATTTAAGTTTACCCAGATATCCCTTCTTCCCGATCGCGGGAAAATCTTCGCGATCGCGAAGCACAAACTCCACTGCCCCCAGAACTTACTCTACGCGATCGCATATAAACTCACGCGAATGCAATGCATAGGCTTCCCAGGCCTACACGATCACGGACAAACCCACGCGTTCACATAGAACAACGTGTGTGACCATCTCTTGCCTCCTTTCCTCTTCGCGAATGCGGCTTAGCCCACGCGTTCGCGATGCACTGATTCCCCAGCTTACGCGATCACATACCAAAACTCGCGATCGCATAGAATAAAAACCTTGGCTGCCCAAATTAGCCTATGCGATCGCGGACCTTCCCACACGATCGCGTATAAGGAAACCAAACCTGAACACCAGCAATCTTCAGCCGTCTTCCAAGTTCAAAATTTAATCTGTTAACCATCTGAAACCCACTCGAGGCCCCAGGGACCTCAACCAAATATACCAACAAATCCTAAATCACGATACGAACTTAGTCGAGGGCCTCAAATTACATCAAACAACATCAAAAATACGAATCGCACCTCAATTCAAGCCTAACGAAAACTAAGAAATTCTAACTTCTACAATTGATGCCGAAAACTATCAAATCAAGTCCGATTGACCTCAAATTTTGCACACAAGTCCTAAATGACACAACGGACCTACTCCATCTCCCGGAACCCCAATCCGAGTCTGGTAACCACAAAGTCAACTCTCGGTCAAACTTCTAAATTTCTAAAGCTTCTAATTTTCCAACTTTCGCCATTTCAAGTCTAATTCAACTACGGACCTCCAAATCACTATCTGAACATACTCCTAAGTCCAAAATTACCAAACGGAGCTATTAGAACCATTAAAACTCTATTCCGGAGTCGTTTATACATAAGTCAATATCCTGTCAACCTTTTCAACTTAAGCTTCCTACCTTGAGACTGAGTGTCTCATCACATTTTGAAACATCCTCGGAACCGAATCAACTACCCCGGCAAGTCACATAACAACAATTAAGCAAAAAATGAGCAGTAGATGGGAAAACGGGACTACAACACTCAAAACGACCGGCCGGGTCGTTACATTAATTATGGGTGCTCAGTTAGTACTTGTCTAAATTTTTTTCAAAATGCCTTTGTAAATATACTAAATCTGGGTAAAGACCTTGGGTGCTTGAGCACCCACAACTCTCCATGTAGATTAGCCATTGCTTGTCGTTATAAATTGAAATTTTCGTGGTAATAAGAATATATCGTAAGGATAAATGAGAAATTTTAAGTTAAAGAATTGTCAAATATAAAATAATATCATTCTTTTTGGATCAGACTAAAAATTAATGAGTGTCATATATTTTGGAGTAAAAATGTTTGGTTGGTCCAAATCTGTAATCTCTGATATGTTACGAAAAATATACGTAGAGTTGGCTTCAGGTTACTTATTTTGAAGTAATAACCCCTTATTGCATCCGTTTGTGCATCAATCTACAGATATGCTATTTGATTACTTGCAATCTAGAAGTTAAAAAAAAAAAAAAAAATTTGGCAAGGGCGTCCATACCCAAATTGATACGTACTTATAAAAAGTCACAAGAGCAAGTGTATGTTATTGGAGTAAACATTGAATGTAGCTAATTAGAATACATGATATTGAGCCACAAATAAAGAACCCCACGGCCTGAAAAGGGAACACACTGAAAAAGGCAAACATTTTCAAAGATACCAGAGGAAACTTCAGAGCCAAACTGTATATGTCGTTTGGAGAGACTTTTACAACTTGAAAACAATATTTAGAAATATATATATGTTTTAAGTTTTGGTATCAAGTTTTGATCTTAGTAAAGACCAAGAGATTTATGAGGACTCTCTCCTGCAACTGCATGGTCCAATTTGGCTTGCTTGTTGCCCTCCAGCTTGAGTCCAAAGTGGATATGAGGGAAATGTGCCCACTGCAAAATGTAGCAAATACCACAAGATAAAATCTTGAGAAAGATATAGCTTCAGATTTCTCTTTTCTGTCTAGTGACCATTCCTGTTTGTCCCTACCATGCATTTTCTTGTGGACAGCTTAAAATCCCCATATGTAACAGGTTATTTTCATTTCACCATATTGTTTTATTACTTGTCTTTTTCTCCCTCCTCCTTGGCTTTTTGAAGAAACAAATAAATCACCAAATACTACCTTTTTGCATTCATTTTATAGCAACGTAACTAAGGAAATTCATAGGCTCACTTACAGGACTAAAACTCAGAACTAACAAAGCTAAAACCAAGAAAGTTGTCCTCATACTTTCTTATTCTATTTATGGCATAACCTAAAATAGAATCTTAGTCATAGTCATCTAACAAGAGTATAGTATTTGCTTCTTGTCATTTTTATCAAATTTATTTCATGTTTTCATTTGCTTAGATTCCAATAATGAGTACCATAACATGACCTTCCAATAACTTATAAGGGAGTTCTTGCCCTGTGCGAAAGAATCTGAACATTCAATCTAAAACTTTAAGGCAATAGTCCAGGACTATTATAAATTCCTTTCAGAACCCTTACACAAAAGATAAGTGGAGAAGTGTCCCTGACAATCCGAACATAATTAACAAAGCTGTAATTAAATTAAAGAAAGTGAAATAAGGAAGAAATTAAGATTAGAATAGATATTGGCATAGAGAGAGAGCTAGTGGTTGGTTTTACATTGTTGAGCAAGAAATTCAGTTTTTCATTTGAGGGCTAGGTGCATAGTGTTTGGCTCAATATCTCCTTCAACATCTCATAGTTCTATTCTTTTTATGGTCTATGTATTTTTGGGTTTTATTTTTTTTCCCCACCCTTATTGGTATTTTATCATTCCCTATATTCTTCCTTCTTTCATTCCCTCTAACGATATACAATTTCCAATTCTTAGTCTATAAAAATCTTAACATTGTCTTACGTTTTTCTTTTTTGGGCGGGCAGGACTTACATTTTTGGCAGCAGTGCTAAAAGCTTGCCGGTGAGTAATATCAGGATTGCTTGCCTTTATCCTTTGGATTTCTTCCCTACACATTAAAACACAACACATATATACATGCACGCTTAATTAGTACATGAATTAACACGATAAAATCTTAACATCTACTGAATAATATGGTAAAATATCGCTTTGAATTGCTCTTGAGTTGTTTATTATTTTTCTTAGCTTCAGATTTATATCGAAAACACAGCAACAATATAAAAGTAAATCAAATTTACTTGATGAATCGGTTGTAAGCAGAAGGAACACGTTGTCTTTTCTCCGGTGCTGCATGGTTTGAGATAGGCAAAAAGGTGGAGTTAGACATATTTCCTAACAAAATTAAGAAAGTAATATATTCATGCCATTACTATAACGAAAATTTTGACCACATAGTTTGCAGTATGCAAACCAGAAATCTCAAAATGTGTGCACTTTATTGAGGTTATTTTGTAATTGATCGCTTAAATGAGAAGTCACGATCATATAGCCAATCCAACTTGTTTGGGACTGACGCACAATTGTTATGATATTCCGATTTTCCTGAGCTATGATATTAAATGGATAACTTGAACTTGAGAAATCTGTGGTAGCATGCATTGATCTAAAAAATTGCAGATATGTACTTATTAGTACTAGTTTTCACAACTTTCGACTCTATCAAGTGGTACTAGTTATCAAAAGTCGAGAATTCTTGAGCCCCCTAACCATAATTTATTCTCTCAAATTAAACTCAGAAGTGATCTATATACATATAGAAAGTTCCCTATCCATCATTTTTTTCTCTAATTCAGAGGACCTTATAGAGCAAAATCAAATCTCACACTGATAGGACAATTGTATATTTTGTTAAGTTGGATCATGTACATCCACTTTGTGTGTATATATATCAGTGTTTTAAAAGAGTTTTCGGGGCGAGTCCTAAGGCTAGGCGCACCAAAAATGCCCCGAGGCGATGGTGTGGGGTGAAAATCTAAGAGTCGTACGTCCAGCAATTCGCGCGTACGTCCGAACGTTCGGGGCGTACGCCTGGGCGTTTGAAGCGCGTTATTGTAGTGAGGCGTAATTCCCAGATACTTTTTCAAATTAAAACAAAATTTGTTGAATACGTCCTCCATATAATACCTAAATTCTCAAAAGTCAGCTTGTAATTATTCAAAAAATTTAAATAGGAAATGAAATGTATTAAATTTAAAAGTCAAGACCTTTTTATTGATTGAAGCCCTAATTTATGGTCTTTCCCAATTCTTTATCTCCTCCGCTAGTCTACTAATATTTCGTAAAAGCAACGCATATTCAATTTTTAAAAACAAATTCAAAGAAAACACCATTCTCCTTCATAGCAGCAAGTTCAAAGTTTAAATTGCAGATTTTTCATCCTTTTTGCTCCTTCATATAAAAAAAACTTTATTCTTTTCGACTCAAGTTACTTGTGCTTGTAAGTTACGTATAATAGATTGTTTTGACTAGTTTTTTTTATGGGGATGGAGCACATCTATATATATATGTTCACATATTTATAGTTTTCTTTAATTTTTATGCAATTTTACTTGTTTATAAATATTTACTGTAATTATATTATTTTATAAAATATTAAATATTAAATACTCAAGGGGCTTACGCCCCATGCCTCGGGGTTTTCGTCTCGCTGAAGCATATGTAAAATGCCNTATATATATATATATATATATATATACACACAAAAAAAAAATATAAACGTTTAGGGGTCGTTTAGTTCACTAGTATTTATGCATACATAAATTAAAATACAGGAATGGGACTGGAAAAATTCTAGGTGGTCCTGATCCGGGGATCTGGGCTCATGCGAAAGGCGTGGGCTATAGCGCGCGAAAATCTGGGACATTGCATGTATAGTAGCATCTCAGTAACCTAATCAAGAAAAGACCTTTAGTAAAAAGAGATGCTAGGGCTCCAGAAATACTTAACCTATGTTTCAAGATTCTGGTGCTAGTGGTGAGTTGGATACAAGTGTAATGTCATTATCAAACTTCAGATGTCATAAGTGAAGCTGAAAATTTCATTGGAGTCTGACAAATCGCTCTCATTTGGTTAAAGAGATCGATACCTTCTTCATTGGACTTCTTATCGTTTATCTTGCTCAGTTGGTGCACTTGTACCACTTTTTTCAAACAATGGTTTGGTCCCCTACTGTAAGGGTGAATTTATACATTATTTTACCTCATGTCTCACTTTTCTAATTTTGAACTCTAATATCTTCGAGTGCTGTCAGTTATTTATCCTCTTTGAAATTTTTGTAACAGGTGACGGTGAGACTCGAACTCAAGACCTTTGCCTTCTCTAATAATCTCAACGAAAAGCTTAAGCTTTTATAGAAAACATGCTTTTAGTTACTTAGTTATGTCTTCAACAAAGACAATGTAAGATTTTTATTACACTATGTTGTATTTTGACTTGTTGCAGCATGTTATCCGCCTTATTTTTCATGTTATTAGTCATATTTATTATGGAACATTATAGTATAAGATTTGTTTACACTGTGAATGTATAGAAGCTAAAACTATTTAATAAAAAATTCAAATATGTATGTAAATGTGTAGCAATTTATTGAGAGAGAGAGAGCTCACGGCGAATAGGAGTGATTCGAGGTTCAATTTGAGGAGAATAATCAATGGCAGAAAATCTGTTGCACTTGGAAGAAGATGATGACCCGCAGGCTTTACTGGCATTTTCAACATTTGACTGTTGTCTTTGCTGCTTCTGTCAGATAAAAAAGAAAAAAACACATATGATCATTATAAAACACTTTCCTCCCCCACCAACAAAAAGTGAAGAAAAATTGCATCCTTATATATTTGTGGAATGAGCCAAAACTAAAATGTTGAAGCTTGACCTATATAATAGTATTTAAGACTTAAGTTATATAGTGTAAATTTTTGAGAAAATTAAATTCCGACGATTCCATGTATTAATTTAGATATTTTGTATTCTTCCAAGAAACTATCTGAACCAAAAGGCTGGAACTGGAGAATACTAATACTATTTTTGTTAAATCAAATAAATCAAAGGCAGAAAATCTGCCTTTGATGAGCTAAGGATATTATGAATGAGCTAAAGAAAGAGTAATTAACTAGGAGAAAGTTTAATTGGTTTCTCTAAATAATATATTTTGAATATGATTTAACTAAATGGGAGTACTATTTTTCACTTTCTTGTTTGACTACAAAAGGAAATAAAACAAAAAGGAACACATAACCAAAAAGATTTTGAAATAACTACTCACTCAGTGTTATTTTATTTGAAGCTATTTGACTTGGTATAATGTTTAAGAAATAATAATTTTTTAAATTTATAATGTTAAACATGTAATGATATTTATGTGTCTATAGAATCATGTCAATAGGATTCAAATGAGAAGTACTATAAAGTTAAATTGTATTTAAATATAGAAATAGATCTTTTTTAAAACAAACTAAAAAGAAAAGAAAGTACATAATATTTAGTCACCTGTGGATCTTGAAGGGGGAGAGCCTGAAGTGAAGATTGCATACTAACACTAAGCAAATTAGCGCAGTGCCCACATCTTACTGTCACTATGGCAAATATGCTGCTGCATGGAACGCTAACCTGACAACACAATATATTCATTAAGGGAACAAATGTTTTATCATATTCTTGACACTTTGTCAATTGTATTCACTATTTACCATTTGCAATAAAAAGAAACCAGTAACAATAGTTTGCAAAAAGTGATACACACTTAATTTGTTAACTTTCTACTAAACTAGCTATAGACTTCTTTCTAGTTTGCTCACATTGTTACAAATTAAATCATCCCAAAATGGAAGAAGAATGAGGAGGCTAAGAGTTTGAGGAAGTGTGTACGTTATTGACACAATTTGGAGAAAAGTTTGAGAGGGGAGTATAAGGGAGGGGTTTAATATAATTGAACCACAATTTTTTATTTATTAGACATATGTGAAAGTTCTTAAAATTAGGTATATATAAAAATTATGTTTACACACATATTGTCTTTAGTTCGCCTTTGTACTTACAATAACACGTCGTAGAATTAGGAGATAATAGGTGCAGACAACGATCAACTAAGACTAACCTATCTATAACTACATCCCAGAAACGCGAGAAGCTATCATTGGACAGGAATGGGAAGTTGTACTCTATTAGGCCATGTACCCCCATAAGAAGGAAGAGGGGAAACATAAAAGGATGAAGTAGGAGGAAGACACAATTTTTGTATTTTCACATAGTAATAAGCTTCATCTATGGGATGGAGTTTGTTAGTATAGTTTTTTCACATTGCAAAAATCAAAGATCAATTTTCTCCTTCTTCTTTTATCTCTTTAATCCCTTTTCTTTTGTTACTTCTGAATTTTTTCTGACCATTGCTCAGTCACTAGAAAAGTGAGAAAGAGAGAGATAACAAGGAAAATGACATGACTAGAACAGAAATCACAGTCCATTACAAGGATCATCAAAATTTCTAAATAAAAATATAAAGAAATTAAATATGATACATGAAGTAAAGGAAAGTGCAAAAACAAGATCAAACTATATCATCTATTCTTATTTAAATTCTTTCAAATAAAGAACTTCAATTCTATTTATGTATCCATAGATTAAAAGGCTATAAGACAGGAGGAGGAAGAGTAAATAAAACAATACTTGCTTCCAGCATGATATTCTTCAACAATAGAAACAAAATGCTATCCTAAGAATTGGGGAAAAAAAGTTTTAAAAAATATCTTGAGTTGATTATTCAGTGGGCAAATGCGTCAAATGTGTGAACAGAAAACCCCACCATCTTTTTTTCTTTCATTTGCAGGGAAGAGATCTAATGGCATCAAAATTACTAGTACAATTATTTGTGATCAGTATAGAAGTACGAATCAGATGTGTGAATTTTTGGAGAAAAAAATAATAATTTGCAAACTAAAATAAAAACTGCAACTTTCTTTTTTCTCTCCTACCGACTTGTTGGATTCATCATCCAGGGTTTTGAATAGGATTAGGGTATTGGATCACAATTCTTCATTTTTTTTCTCCCAATTCCCATTCGAAGTTCAATTTTCAAGATTATTCTAACAAATGAAGACTCCTAACAAACAAAACTACTTTATTTTTTCTCTCCCAAGTGAAATCTAGTAAAAATTAACATAAAATATTGAGTAAAAGTTACAAAATACTCGAGAAAAATTTCTTCAACCATATACATCTTTAATTAGCCCTATAATTCAAAAGAAAAGACTTCATTTCATTTAAATTATGATGAATTTTAGCAATATTTTCTTCACTTTAAAACCCAAGAGAGACATATCCTCTTTCAAAAACATGTTTTTTTTAAATCTATGCACATAATAATCCCATATGAGCTTAAAATGAAGAGCTCCTTGTTGTCTTTGATCTCTTTTTCTATTTTGGTGTGGCTAACATGCATGTTAAAAACAACTTAAAAGGGTTGAAAACCTTTGTAATTAAGTGGAAAAAATCAAATTGAAGGAAGTTGGATGAATTAAAGAAGTAATATTACCGCAAGAATGGTGTTGCAAAAGTTGCAGTGCACGTAACAAACACGTTCCGAGGAAATCGAAGATGTCATGTCGAGTGACATTGTAGTTATTTAATTTTTTAGGTTTTTGGCCGAGAATCTCGGATCAATACGAGGATGGATCAAAGTACAAGCTACTCTTTCAGTAAAACAAGAGAAAGAATTACCTAAGAAAGAAGCTCGAGAAGAAGTGGAGAAAGGTATATATATATAGCCTCATCAAGAAACATGAATATATGCAGTGAAGTTATAGAATTGAAGGAAAGAGGGAGGGGTGAAAGACAAAAAGATGCTCTAAGCAGAAAAATATATAAAGCATAAAGGGAAGAAAAAGCCTACTCAAGAGGTAAAGATAATATTTGGTTCAATTAGAAAGAAAGAAAGAAAGAAAGAAAAAGAAAGGGAAGGGTACAAAAGAAACACACAGAGAGATGAGCGGATGGATGGGATGGGAGTGGTCTGGTCGGTATTTGGGCAAAGGTGGATGACTGGGGGGGG